TTATTAATATTATAACCATTCACAGTGAAGAATAAACAGTCACTGCTGTCTCACTATATAAGATGCTTTAATATGAGACTCATTCCACATTTTGGTTTGAGTGCTCCCAGTCTGCAGACTTTCTGGTGTGTGTGCCATAAACATTTACTAATTACTAGTTCAGGGATTCATTGGTCTTATGTCTGTTATTTCTGAACTTTTGACACTAACACCCACACACGTGCAGTTCATGAATGAGTCTCCCCCTCACTCCCCAAAGCTCTGCAGCTCTCCAGAGCCAAACACCGAGCCTTGCACAGCACGAGCCCATAGGCAATGATTGCTGAGCTGAAACCACTACACACCCACCTGCCCATTCACCTTCAGACACACAACTATGCACTTTGCACAGCTCACCGCAGCCTGGAGAACACCTGTAACGCACTGGAATGACCTTCAAGGCTCTTCCCTGCACCGACTTTTCCAGGCTTATACAACCTGCGTGTTCCTTCTCACGGCCAAATAAAGAACAAATGTGCAGTTCCTCACACACCAATTGGCTAACCTGCTCTCCTTTGAGCCTTTACCACTTGTGTGTGTCTGACACAACCCTGAGTCAATTCCAAACACAGTCTTGTCCTGACTCTCCGGTTTTCCTTCAACACTCCATAATTTATTGATATTCCAGCTTCTTATGCCACCCAACAAACTCCACCCTGTATAATAAGCATTTCAGCAGTGATTTATTCTATATTAAGGATTAGCTAATGTTAACTGAACATTTTTTTTCTTGGCAGATACAACATTGCTTTATCTTCTAGATCCTTGTACACAGAAGTGTTCAATGAACACTGGTTGGACCAGAGTATGTTGTTGACTTTTTATCAACCTCATCTCCTTAGAACAAACTTCGCCTTCTCCTACTTCTTGGCCTCCTGCCAGTGCTGCACCCACTCCTGCCTAGCGCTCCACCCGCCTTCCAAGCGACTCTCCCACACCCACACTCCTTACAGCCACAGGGCCAGGGAAGCTGTTGACTTTGGTCCCAATTGCAGGAGTCAGATTCTGCTGGGAAACTCTGCATCTGTGCCCTGTTCTGCAAGCTGCAGAGAACTGACCTGGCTCCCTAAGCGCTCTCCGTCGTCCCCCATCCAAGGACTCCTGCACCTGCCTCCTTTTTGGTCTCTAACACAAGGGTTCCCACTGTGTTCCCACTGCTGTGCTTTGGAAACACACGGGAACCTTTTAAATGCTGATACTGGGCCCCTTCCAACCCAGAAATTCTGATTTAGTAATCCAGGATGCAGCCTGGATGTCGGGATTTTTCAACATCCAGGGGTGATTCCAGTATTTGAAATCCCAGCGCGTTCGTCCAGCCGAATGCCCAGCCTCTAAAGCTGGCAGCCTGGGAAAGGAAGGAAGAAGGAAGGAAAGGAGGAAGGGAGGAAGGGAGGAAGGGAGGAAGGGAGGAAGGGAGGAAGGGAGGAAGGGAGGAAGGGAGGAAGGGAGGGAGGAAGGATGGGAGGGAGGAAGGGAGGGAGGGAGGGAGAGGGAGAGGGAAGGAGAGAGAGGGAGAGGGAGGGAGGGAGAGAAAGAGAAGTGGGTTTACCTGAGGCCCCAAGGCGGGTCCCCAAGGCGGCTCCACCCACTGCGCGGGCGGAGCCGTCCCACCTTGGACTCGGCTCGGAGATAAACTCCTGAACCTCCCCCAGCCGCGAGTCAGCGACGCGGTGCCCGTGGCAGACCCCTGCTGCTCGGCCGATTGCTAAGGCTGCGTGTCTCGGGTGAGTTCCCGAAGTCCGGACCCGGGGCCGGGCGAGACCTCCGTGAGGAGGTGGCGCTGGCCCGCTCCGAGGCCCCCGTGGCTGGGCGCCCTGCCGGCGGTAAAGCTGTGGCGGGGTGGCATGGGGGGGGGGTGCGAGAGAGGGAGCGCCGGTGAGCCCCGGCCCAGCGTCTGGGGGTGAGCCGGCGAGAGCGCCACGCTGCTCTCTGCTTCCGGGGCGCGTCTACCACTCCCTCCCCACCGCCCCCAATTCATCGGGTACCTCTTACCAGGGCAATTTGCTGTGTCCTGGCCTGGGAAGCAGAAGACACCGGTCTATATTGCACCAAGTTAGTTCAGCACTTTTTTTTTTTTTTTAAGTAAACTCTATGCCCAACGTGGGGCTTGAACTCAGGACTCTGAGATCGAGTTGCTGATCTCCCGACTGAGCCAGCCAGGTGCCCCAAGTTAGTTCAGCTTTTGAACTAAGTAGTCAGGCTGTGGGATGGAAGCATCAAAGAAGTGTGTAACCCGATTAAATTTAAAATGCTCTGTAACTTACTAAGAATTTACTTTTGTTTGTAAGTATACTTACTATCACATCTTTCGTTGCTATGGGCAGGGATCATAATTCATATGCTAGCAGGAACACCAATCATAGCTCTAGCTAATGCAGTCATTTTGCTGTTGTTATGGGCCTGGCATTGTTCTAGGAAGGCCTCCACATTATGGGCATTAGGAGTGGAGGTGGAGATGATGTGTAACCTGGCAGGTGTTGAAATCCAGCCCAACTCCTCTTGCCCCATCCCCACCCCCACCCTATACACCCTGGGGGGAGGAGCTGTGTGCAGGGCAATGGAAACGGTCCCCCCCCCCAATTTGCTCAGAAATTCCAGAAGGGATCATAGGGTTGGTATTACACACCTTAATACTTTACCTGTATTAAGTCTTTTAATTTCCACAGCTCCCCCATTGGTGCATCCTGCGGAATCCCCTTATTTAGAAGAGGAAACTGAGGCACAAAAGATAAAATACTTTTAACCAAGGCTGCAGAAAAGTCAGTGGCAGATCCAGAATTCCAACCCAAACTTTAATCTCTACACCGCACTACCTGTGCAGATGCCCGACAGACACCCTAAACCCCAAATGAGGGAGATCTCAGGATGCCAAGCTCTTAAGAACCTAGTAAGCATCAGCCGAGACAGCAATAAGCGGTAAGACCTTGCTCTAGGTCTTACATCATGCCAACACTGAGACAGTGGAGTGCTGAAGTCTAGGGCCTCTGGCATCAAGAACCTTCCCCCAGGTCAGTGGTTAGACTTTTAGCCACCCACATGGTGTTGGAGCCCACAGAGGAAAGAAATAGACCTCTGTCCCTCTGGCATGAACTCTCATAGTGGTGTGCCTGAAAGGGGGCATGGATGAGCTGGTGTGGGTCTTCTCGTGGAAGAGTGTTGGCCATACCCAGGTTCTGCCTGGGGAGGGTGCCCCATTAATGTGGGAAGCCTGACCCTCATCCTTGCAGGTCTGAAGACGCATACTCCACGACTGAGCTTAAAATGAGAGTCTGAAAATCACCGTTTGCCTTTCAGGGCACCTTCCTTCCAAATTCTCTAGAGCCTGAGAGGCTCTTTTATAAAAGGGGAGGGCTTTTATTCATTCATCAAATCATCCAGCTCAATCATCCAAAGCTACTAGGTAAAAATAAATCCGAGCAAAGATAGCAGAGAGTTTGAGGGCCATTTCATCCAAAGCATGGTGAAACCCAGGGCTCCACCACAAGAACTCCCTTTGACCAATACATCCATGCCCCCTACCACCCACATTCTAATTCTCTGGACAGACAGCATTAGACACACTGGCCAAAATTACCTCAAGCCTCAAACTCTTCCATCCCTCTGTTGGTCAAGCTGCTCCCAGATCCCTCTACCTCTAACCATTCATCATTTGGCCACTGGCTCAAATGTCACCTTCCAGTGAATCTCTCTTGTTGCTTCTTCCCCAGCACCCAATCTAAAACAGATCTCCCCTCTACTCTCTATAGCACCCTGTAGTTTTCTTTGTAGTACGACGGCTTGTCATGATGTATTTATTTGCTCAATGTCTCTTTCTTCAACAAGACCCTTGGCTCATGAGGGCAGTAATCACGGAATCCTCAGCCCCAATGCCCAGCATCAGACCTGCACGGCATCAGGCCTCAGTAAATATAATAAATGACCTCAGCTGACCCTGCACTAACTAGCACCGGGACCTTGGGTAAGCTACATGCATACTCTTTCTGATCTTAAGTCCCATCTGTCCAATGAGCCAAGAAACAACAATTTAGGTCACAACAATTTCCTAAGGGCCTTGCCATGCTCCCAGCCCTGCTGTTGATGAATCTATCCACCCATCATCATGAACAGTGACTAGTCTATCCTCAGCCAAACTGCAAAGTAAGTGAACCTGCTGGTTCTTTAATGAAGGACATCTGCCCTCAGCTGTGCCTCTCAATTGGACACCCCATTCAGGGAAGCCTCCCACCCCCAGCACAGGATGCCCCTGCTAAATATGTCTTCTCATCCTGTAGAAAATAAGACCTTCCCTTCTTTCCCAGCTGCTTTTTAGTAGAGCCTCTTAGAAACCCATTCTCACTAAAGTGATAACAGGATATAAGCTATAGCCTCGTATGAGTTTGTCAAGGGGAGGACTTTTTTTTTTTTTTAAGATTTTATTTATTTGACAGAGAGAGACACAGCGAGAGAGGGAACACGAGCAGGGGGAGTGGGAGAGGGAGAAGCAGGCTCCCCGCAGAGCAGGGAGCCCGATGCGGGGCTCGATCCCAGGACCCTGGGATCACGACCTAAGCCGAAGGCAGACGCTTAACGACTGAGCCACCCAAGCGCCCCAAAGGGAGGCCTTTTATTCATACAGCAAACATATTGGGTGATTTCTCCATGAGCAGTACTCCGTATCTGAGAAACATGCTAACATCCATAAAGCACTTACTGGGGGTTCGCATTGCAGTCCTGCACGCAACATTCATTCTCATTTCATCTGTAAAACCACCCTGTGCTACGGGACCAGTAGATATGTGGAGAGCGAGGCCCCGAGAGGCTAGTAGCCTGCCCCAGATTTCACAGGTAGGCATGGGCAGGGCAGGACAGCTATCCACTCTGTCTCTCACCTATATTCTACAGTGCCAAGGCTGTGGTCTTGCACTTGTGGTCAGTGGTGTGGGATGGAGGTCTCAGAGTCTGGGGAAGGGGGGGTATCCCATGCTTACAGCGAATCTGTTGGAAAAGGTTTAGAACATCAATTACTCCTTTTCAAGTATGTTCTACAAATAGGATTTTACATTTTTTTTTCCTTGAATCTCAAATATTTTTAAGCTTTTTACTTGGGTATAGTTGACACGCAGTGTTACATTAGTTTCAGGTGTACAATATAGAGATTTAACAAGTCTATACGTTATGCCGTGTGCGCAAGTGTAGCTATAATCTGTCACCATGCTACACTATTACAGTACCATTGACTATACTCCCCATGCTGAGCCTTTTATTCCCATGACTTACTCATTCTATAACTGGAAGCCTGTATCTTCCACTCCCCCTCACCCATTTCCCCCGTCCTCCTACCCCTTCTCCCTCTGGCAACCACCAGTTTGTTTCCTGTATTTATAGGTGTGATTCTACTTTTTTTTGCTTGTTTATTCTTTTTTTTTAGACTCCATGTATGAGTGAAATCGTATGGTATTTGTCTTTCTCAGTTTGACTCATTTTACTTAGCATTATGTTCTCTAGGTCCATCCATGTTGTTGCATGATCTCATCCTTTTTTAAAGCTGCATAATATTCCTCTGTGTGTGTGGTGTGTGTGTGTGTCCCCTACATCATCCTTATCTATTGAACATTAGATTTTAAATAATGACACAAAATTAGAGAATGACTGTGCAAATTAAAAAACACAAACCCAGGGGCCCCTGGGTGACTCTGTTGGTTAAGCGTCCAACACTTGGTTTCAGCTCAGATCATGATCTCAGGGTCATGAGATCGAGCCCTGCATAGGGAGGGAGTGTGCTTCTCTCTCTACACCTCCCCTTCTGCCCCTCCCCACTGCTAGTGTCGCTCTCTCTCTCTCAAATAAATAAGTCTTTAAAAAAATAACAACAACAAAACCCCACAAACCCAAAAGGAGACAAAAGTAAAACCAGAGAGGTAGCTGTTACCACATAAACATTACAACATAGTTATGACTTTGAACATAAAAGCAGTCAACGGGACTTGGGATTATTATGAAGAAAGCTTAACTGTGAGAAATAATTAAGTTCTCCTTCAGGTTAAATGTTGGTGTGGTTACAGTTCCTGGTTAGGGAAACTTTCTGTCCTGTACAACACTCAGATGCAGGCTCAGCTTCGGGCTGTGAATGAAGCTGGCCAAGACACAGGCCCTGTGTCTGCCTTAGTTCAGAGTCTGCTACCAAGAGAGCAGCTTAAATAACACGGCCCCCTTTCTGCTGCTATCTCAGAAAACGTGAGCTCCACATCGTCCACACGCTCACAGGGAATGGTCACGGAGCTCTTGATGTGGGGTCTCTCTTCCTTTATAGGTCTCAGCCACAACATGGCTTCCAACCTGAAGTCAGCCAAGAAATTGATGGTTTTCTTAGGAAAATCAATGATTGCTTTTCTGGAGACGATGATTTTCATCATCATCCCCAGACCACGGAAGAACGTTGCTGGTGAAATCGTGCTCATCACTGGCTCTGGGAGCGGACTGGGAAGGTTCTTGGCCCTCAAATTTGCCCACCTTGGATCCGTGCTGGTTCTCTGGGATATCAACGAGGAGGGGAACGAGGACACGTGCAGGATGGTGCGGGAAGCTGGGGCCCCAAGAGTTTATGCCTACACCTGTGACTGCAGCCAAAAGGAAAACGTATACAGAGTGGCCGAGCAGGTAGATCTCGCGTCTCGCTGTTCCCTGTGGGTAGTGAGCACTATACGCAGATACGCACACGTGCCTCCATTTCTCTGTCTCTTTGCCTTGCTCAGTGCAATTTGCCTGTCTCCAACATTCCTTTAATTTAAAAAATATTGGGGAGTGGGAATTCGGATTTTTGAGTTGTCACCGTATACAATACACCACACAAAGCACCCCATCTATATTACATCCTAATCCTATAAAGTGAGGTCCATGACTATCTCTATGTCACAGATAAGGAAACCAGGGCTTAAGGAGGTAAGTAGCTCCCCTAAGAAACGTCTACTAAGTAGCAAAGATCCAGCTCAGCCTTGAGTCTGTTGACTCCGTGCACATACCAGGCAGTACGGGCCGGCGCTGGCCCCTGTTACCATATAGGAGGTAGAAGGTGGCCCCCTTCGTGGAGGAGAAGGGAGACATAGAGATATTGAATAATCTGCTCAGGGGTCCCAGAGCCAGCACAGGACGAAGCCAGAGCTTGAACCCGTCTCCGGCCTGAGCTGAAATCCAGCTATTTCCGCCACACCACAGGGCCTTTCACTTGAATATATATTTCTCTTAAGTAATCATAAGAAAATCAGAATATTTCATTCATCCCAAAGATGCTTAGCCGCAGTTGCTCCTTTGGTGATGATACAGCTGCACGTTCAAAGAAGGATTTCAGGAAATCAAAACCCCAGTAAGCAGCGGTAAGAGGTTTTTTTTGTTCATCGAGGTGCATACTTGCTTGCTGCCTCTTTTCCCTCATAAGACTTTTCTCTATCCCCCCATCGGCACATCACTCTCGTGAGCCATCTTTTTGGCGGCCCCCAGAATTCCCCAATTTAGTGAGAAGGAAGGAACCAGACTGGCCTGCGAAGAGCAGCCCAGCCCCATCGGAAAGTTCTCGCACAGCTTCTCGGCCCCTACCCCGAATCCCTTGCCGCTTCCCGCTTCACTTCCTAGTGGTAAGCTTGGCAGGTCATCGGCAGGGGAGTGTGTAGCTTCTGTTGAAATTTGTCTTTAAATTCTATACATCTGTGACTACCATCTCCAGTCCCAGGAGGCCCGGTACAGTCTGGAGACCCCAACCTGATAAGCTAGCACCTCCCTCAAAGTGCAAGTGTGTCTCTCTCCTACAGCCGACCTCGCAGATGAATCTCTGTGCACTTAGAGCCCTAATCACCTGGCCTGTTCCCTCGATGCTTGACGGCAAACAACTTCTCTAGCCACTCTTTTTTTTTAAAGATTTTTTTTATTTATTTATTTGAGACAGAGAGAACGAGAGAGAGAGAGCACATGAGAGGGGGGAGGGTCAGAGGGAGAAGCAGGTTCCTTGCTGAGCAGGGAGCCCGGTGCGGACTCGATCCAGGGACTCCAGGATCATGACCTGAGCCGAAGGCAGTCGCTTAACCGACTGAGCCACCCAGGCGCCCATCTCTAGCCACTCTTAAGCAATAATTGGTTCTCATTCAAATGCTGAAGACCATCCAATATTGAGCAAGTTAATACGAGGCCCTCTATAAATAATTGCCTCAGGTAGGCCTAGTTGTTTCTAGCCTTGACTGCTGTTCAGCTTGAATTTGACTAAATATTTTTCACCACTCTCCAAATAAAGCTCAAAGTCAGATTTGTTTCCAGTGCTTTTATCTGAAAATGCTACCGTAAAAGGTGAGGTTTCCTTGGTCTCTGTTTCATCCTAGATTTTCCCTAGGCTGCCGATCTACTTGGCTCATAAATCCCTACCACGTCACCCTCGTTGCTGGGGCTCAGGCCTTCCAGGGCAGCGGATGAGGTGGTGGCTTCCACCTGGCTTCAGTAATACATCCTGCTCTGTGCCAGACGGTGCCATCCGTGTAGGGAGGTGCACAACACACGTGCACACGCATGCACACACACAGCTAGAGATGTAAAGGGTACTGCCGTGAGCTTCTTGTTCGGCCCAGGATAGCGGCAACCAGGGGTTCTCTCTGATCTGGGGACAGAGCCCCGGCTTGGGATACAAATTACAGTAATGAAATTCAAAGCACAGAAAGGAACGAAGGGACATCACCATCTCCTGTCTCCAATCCTGGCAAATCCTGCACTCACTTCTGCCCTAAGGGCTAGGATTACAAGCTGAAGATTTACTATAAGCGAAAGGCTCCAAGGTCCCACCCAGAAATTTTCTTTCTTAAATGCAAGTTATGGAGTACCTACTGTGGCTAGCGTTACAGAAGCAAATGGGGCTTACTCCGATCCTCCCTTCACATATCTTAACACCTAGAAGCCTGTGGTAGGGAGAAGGAAACCAGCTCGTTGGTACAAGCAGGACAGACAGGTTCTGAGCTGTGCCGTGTGCATAAAACCCGTTTAGGAATTTTGTGCTTCCTCCGTATCTTCCTACTCCACCCCATCTCGGTGTGTGCTGGGTCTTGATTTATATGGCATGGCTGTAATGCCTTATGTCCTGTCACAATGACTGAAATAAATCTACTACTTACGCAGATACTGAAACAAAATGACTAGAATAGCTCTAACTGCTCTACCTGTTAAGGAAAGTAGCCCTGCCATGTTGGAACCATCCTAAGAAGGGGGGAAGAAATGAGAAGAAAAGCATCAGACATGGATCTCTGACGCACTGTAAATTCAGCAAAGGAAATAAAGCATACTCTGTTTGCAGAGTGCATAAACTCCATCTGAGTTAACTAGGATAAGGAAGCATGTAAAACTATGGGAAATTCAAACTTAGATCATGTAAAGAATTACTCCATGGGTGGTGTTGCTCTTGTTACTCAACGCAGGTTAAAAAAGAAGTTGGCGATGTCTCCATCCTAATCAACAATGCTGGAATTGTGACAGGCAAAAGTTTCCTCGACTGCCCAGATGAGCTGTTGGAAAAGGCTTTCGATGTGAATTTCAAAGCACATTTATGGGTAATTATTTTTTCTTCTCATGATAAATCTAAAGTTATTCTGAATTTAGAAGTACCTTCCTCTTGTTATCTTACGATTTTTTTTCTTCTCTAGCCAAAGCACAGACTTCTCAATTTTAGATTTGTCCCAGTCTACCCAGATGTCCCCACGCCCCCCCCCCACCCCGATCCAACTTAACCTGCACCTGCCTGAGCCTCTGCTAAGGAATCCTGCCAAGACACAATTGTCCCATGGTTTTACTGTCACTTATTGATTGCCAACCTATGTTGGGTGCTATCCAAGGCACCTCCTGTATCATCCTTGAAACAGCTCGGTGAAATAAGGGATCAGAAGAGTTAAAAGATTTGCTCAAGGCTACACAGAAATGATAGCACGTAGACATGACCAGGGAGATCTTACAGTTTGCCTAAGCTGGAACTCTTTTGAAAGTGGAAAAGGTAAATAATAATAATAACAATAAAGAAAGTGAAAGAGGGCATTATCAATAAACAAGCATTAATCAGGTCTAGTCTGGGCAAACGAAGACATACAGTCACCTCACTCAGTATCTAAGCAGGCAAAAGGGAGTTTCTACCAGTAGCCTGGGTGACTTTAAAGGGCACAGGACAGGTGCCTCGGACATTAAGGGGCACAGCCCCTGACCTCCAACATGATATGCCCCTTGCAGAAGTTGGGTTTTCCTAGCTTTTGCTGAAACCAGTCTTGCCACGCCTCCCCACCCATGCGCATGCCCTCCCTTGCCTCTCCCTGCTGTCCTGGGCAGCCCTTGGCTGGGAGGGAGTATTTGCTGGAGAATTCTGAGCTCCCCTCCATCCTCCTTATACCTCCCTACCCGGACTCCCCGCCCAACTCTCATTTGGCAGCCTTCACATGTTATTTGGACTTTGTCGGTTTCTGTCCCCTAGTTTCACCAAAAGTGTCCTGGCACGGGTGGCATTGTTGGTGTTCTGTATTATTTCCAGAAGAAAGATGGAAAGATTCAGAACTAAGTGACCACCATGTTCCTTTGGGAGCTACTGCAAGTGATTTATGTTGTCTTGTCCCAAATATCCCTCTCCTTCATTAGAAGGAAGTTAGATTCTTTGGCCAGAATGAAGATAAAACCATCATCTCATTAATAGTCTCCACTTCTGCTGCGTTCTTTTTCCTCCTCGGTCTCCTCTTTCTCTTCTTTCTCTCTCTCTTCCTCTAGCTGTCCCCAGAATGCTGGTGTATCCCTGGCCCCCATCATTCTCACTCTGGACGCTCTTTCTGGGCAAGTCCACGTACGTTCTTTGAGCCTCTGCATGGAGTAGACGCTTAACTGCCAATGGGTCGAGGGCTCCTGGTGACTGTACTCCCAAGGGATGCGTCCCCAGGGAGAAGTAAAGAGACTCACCGCAGACCATCGGAACTCAGGGAGCTTTTTATTATGCTGCTCTGTTGGCTCGTTTTGATTTTCCACCTCTCTCTAAGTGTTAGTTTCTCTCGGAAAGTCATCGTGATGCACACAAAGGTTGTTTGACTTTTATAAGAGATCCCTTTTCTCATATTTATTCATATGATTCAAATTTGAAAATAAACATGAAATAGAAATTCACATAAATATGCAAGTATTCCTGTTTGAGGAGTTATTTCTGCGTTGTAGAGCCTATCTTCTATCAAAGCTCATCTCTCTCTCCTTTACCTTCTTTTTCCAGGTCCCACATCAAAGGTGAAGGTGCTCTATAGTACTGAGGACACAGCACACATCCTTTCTTTCTAACATATCCTCTCTACTGACATGGAATCCAAATTAGAAACCACTATTCAAAGAAGTAGAGATGAATTTCAAAACAAAGTGATATTTTTAAACTGAAGCCTATAATGGTATGGTCCTATGAACAATGTTCAGAAAAATTTGAAATCCAAATATGATCCAAGGGGCGGAAAAGACAATATAAATCTAAATAATCATATCTCCGAGTACTCTTACTGGTTTGTGGATTGTGCCTGCCACAGTTAAGATTCTCCGATACTGCTTGAATTAATGTATGAATATTGCTTTTCAAAGTCACATATGAACAAAATATAATTCTAAATAAATTATTTTTAATAATATTGGAACTGCCATCACGAAAATACTGATTTACCAGGTTGAACAAACTAAGAGGCTTACTTGCCAGATGTTCACATTTTTATACCCCAGTGCCTTCAAATATTTTTAGGAGCTTAAAAGATTCTTTTCATCACAACAGTCATATAAACATCTGAAAAAAGTATAAAATGTTAACAGTTCTTCCTTGCTCTTCTTAGACTTATAAATCCTTTCTACCTGCTATGATCGCTAATGAGCATGGACATTTGGTTTGCATTTCAAGTTTAGCTGGATTAACTGGAATAAATAAACTGGCAGGTAAGAGAAATGTAATATTTAGCAGTTGCAAAAAGTTTTATAACTTTATCTTACTTAGCTCTGAACAATTAGCATTGATTTGATGTACCAGTGATAAAGGGTTATAAATTAAGAGACATATTCAATAAGGTATGTGGTTGAGAACATGGTACAGCAAAACTGCCTATTAGATTTGCTTACACGCAGTTGAACTTTGCACTTTGGAATCATTAGGTCAGTGCAATCCCCTGGGCTTTCAAAAAAAGAGAAAGAGAGGGTGTCTGGGTGGCTCAGCCAGTTAAGCATCTGCCTTCGGCTTAAGTCGTGATCCCAGGGTCCTGGGATCAAGTCCTGCATTAGACTCCCTGCTCAGCGGGGAGTCTGCTTCTCCCTCTGCCTCTCCCCCCTGGCTTGTGTGAGCTTACTCGCTCTCTCTCTCTCTGTCAGATAGATAGATAGATGATTGATAGATAGATGGATGGATGGATAGATAGATAGATAGATAGGTAGATAGATGATAGATAGATAAAATTTTTAAAAGAGGAAGAGAGAGAACTTACTGATAAATTCTTTTTATGCAAGTGATTAGAGTAGTCACCATCTGGGGGACCCCTGGCACTGTTATCAGGATGGTAAGGAGGAGCACTCTGCCTTCTGAAATTTCCATTAAGTGGTCTCCTTCGGCTGGGGGTTTGGAGAAAGTTTCTCCAGCCCAAAAAATCTAAAATTAACCTCTCTGCTTTTCCATTGGTTGTAGACTCACAGCTCAAGATGCACAGCAGTGGTCTTAGCATGGTTCATCTCAGTTATGGGAACAGGGTTTTCAGAACCACCAGTCACCCCAAATTTTACCTGTCTATACACATCTCCCGGTACACGGGATTCCCCTTTCTCCATCCTTCTTAGAATTCACTGGTTTTATTGTGACCTCACGGGTCTCTGAGCTCCTACAGGTCTATTTGCAGGTCCTATGAATCCTTTTCCTGGCACAATATCTCTATCTTAAGATACAAGACTCTCCCATGCCCATGTTCACCTTAGAAACATGTGTAAGACTTTTGTAATTCTCACCCTGTGGATCTTGGCACCCCTGCATCAGAATCAGCAGGCATGCTATTTAGAATGCAGATTGCCTGAGTCCTTGGCTGTTTCTGCTCATCTGAATTTCAGAGATGCAGGGGCTCAGTGAACTGCATTAATGCCCCATGACTCAGGTTCTCCTAGAAGCTGCTCAGGACTCCCCTCTCCTCTTCCCTTCCTCTACTGTCTAACCCACCACAATCTAGGGACCTGACTCTTGCCGATGGTAGTGTCTACTTCTGACCATGTGAGGAAAAGGAGAGTCAGAGTCCACCGACATGCAATTTCTTCTCCAAATATTTCCATTCTTCGAGTTCAAGATTCAGGTGTTTATTTGAAGTGAGTGTGATTGTAGGCTGAAAGCTCAAAACTGACATGGATGCCACTTTCCATGCCCCCTGCATTTTCAAGATGTGTAAGAGGTAGAGGTTGACGTTTGCCAGTCTGTTTTTCTCTAGCAAAGGGAAGAAAGAGTCAGAGTTAGAAGAAAATTTGATCTGAGTATCACAACCCATGGTGATCTCGCTTGCCTGGACTCCTACATCCCTTATTATTTTATTTCTTCTTTTGTGTGTCTCCCTGTCGCGATGGTCTTGAAACTCTTTGGGACACACATGTCACTGCCCCGTGGAACAGCTCCCACAGTGTCTGACCACTTGTCGGGGTGGAAGTAAAGCCTTGCAGTGTGACCTGCAGGAGGCTCCCCGCAGCCCTGCGTCTCCCGAAGGGCACTTGGTCCTTGTCAACCGACCTTTAGGTGATGGTGCTCCTCCCCACTCGTTCCTCTCTTCCTCCAGCGGGTGCAGACCATGATCATACAAAATAAGAACTCTGAAATCATTGTCCCATTCTCTGTGTGTGTTCGTGTTACGAGGAAACCTTGACATAATGCCATTTAAAAACTCTAGAATATACATTACCGTTGTTTGCCTTTTTCAGATTACTGTGCAAGTAAATTTGCAGCCTTCGGATTTGCTGAATCTGTATTTATAGAAACAATGGCCCAGAAACTAAAGGGGATAAAAACCACTATTGTGTGCCCATTTTTAATGAAAACTGGAATGTTTGAAGGTTGTTCTACTGTGTAAGTATGTCCTTTGATTTCAAAGAAACTACATTTTTTAAAATGATTGAAAATGATTAAAAATTATTTTATTTTGTTCTATCCATTAACATTGTTTAAAAGGTATTCCTTAGGATTCAGCCTGATTTATAAGTGATTTCAGAATTGTTTCTTTCTTCAAATGTGTTTGTGTTTAAGATACTGAGTTTAAGGGGGGTGGTTTATCAAGGCGGGGTCCAACTCCTACCGCACCATAGCCAGGTCTGCTAGCCATCTCCCCAGCATTCCTGGCCATAGTCTGTCTGTCCCACCAAACTCCCTGACTGACTCCACGGCAGGACTGAAAATTACTGGAGCGGGGGGACACCAGTGCCCAACTCTGCATCTCACAGGGATGAAAGGAAGTTGTTCAATATGGTTTCACATAGATGCATATACTGTATCACTAGGGGCGCCTGGGTGGCTCAGTC